AAAAAAAAAAAAAAAAAAAGAAATACAATACTAGCCGGGGTCGGTGGCTCAGCCTGTAATCCCGCGCCGTGGGAGGCTGAGGTGAGTGGATTGCCTGAGCCCGCATGTTCGAGACCTCATCTCTACAACAAATCAAAAATTCAGCCGGGCGTGGTAGCACATGCCTATAATTCCGGCTACTCGGAAGGCTAAAGTGGAAGGATTGCCGGAGCCCAGCAAGTCGAGGCTGCGGTGGCCAGGAGCGGGCCACTGCACTCCGGTCTGGACGACACAGTGAGACTCCAACTCAAAAAATAAATAAATCAATACAATACTAGCTGGGCTTGGTGGCTCAGCCTGTAATCCCAGAGCTTTGGAAGGCTGAGTGAGTGGATTGCCTAAGCCTGTGGTATCGAGACCTGCCTGGGCAACTTGGTGAGACCTCATCTCTACAATAAATCAAAAATTAGCCGGGCATGGTAGCACACGCCTGTACTTCCAGCTGCTTGGAAGGCTGAGGCGGAAGATTCCCTGGAGCCCAGCAGGTGAAGGCTGTGGTGGCCCGGAGCGTGCCACTGCACTCCAGTCTGGGTGACAGAGTGAGACTCCAACTCAAAAAAAATAAAAAAATAAAAAGAATTAAATACAATACTGGGTCAGGCTCAATGGCTCAGCCTGTAATCCCAGCACTTGGGGAGGCCAAGGTGAGTGGATTGCCTGAGCCTGCGGGATGGAGACCAGCCCGGGCAACTTGGCAAGACCGTCTCTATAGTAATTTTTTGTTTTGTTTTGTTTTGAGTTAGAGTCTCACTCTGTCGCCCAGACTGGAGTGCAGTGGCCGTTCCCAGCCACCGCAGCCTCAACCTGCTGGGCTCTGGCGATCCTTCCGCCTCAGCCTTCCAGATAGCTGGAACTACAGGTGCACACTACCATGCTAGGTGGGTCTCGAACCCGCAACAATAAAATTTTTTAAAATTAGTCACGCATGGTAGCACGCGCCTGTAGTCCCAGCTATCTGGAAGGCTGAGGCGGAAGGACAAGACAGAGCCCAGCAGGTTGACGCTGGAATGGCCATGAGCATACCACTGCATTCCAACCTGAGGGACAGAGTAAGGCTCCCACTCAAACAAACAAACAAAAACCAAAAAACCATTATGGATCAAGGCTGAGTTTAAATGAAATGTTCACCAAATATACAAATAAGTTTAGCATTTATACTAGTGCAGCACAAAAGTTCAGGTTTACTATGTACTCCTCACCTCTCAGAGGAAAAAGACCACGTGGAATCTAACTGCTAAGCACAGGAGGATACTTTCACAAAGGGTAAAAACAGTTTTACTTCCCTGCTCACATTCTGACATTTCTGGAAGTCACGGTATTGTAATTCAAACATGGCCACATACTAGAGCCCAACCCCACCTCTATTCTCATCGCCCTCCAATCTGCACCCTACACGACACAGTCATGTCTCTCATGTGCACTGAGTCAGTCCTGCTCCTCCATTTGTGCACACATCACCTTCACACAGGAACACTCTTTCCATCTGCACCAGTTACTTAACTCTCGCCTTGCTCCCAAGTCTCAATTTGGTTTGCCTACTCCAAGAAACCACACCCGAGCTAGGCCCCATGGTGCTCTGGTCCCCAGCAGCATCTTCTCATGGATGCTAACCTTATTGCATGCTGACTGCATGCACCGGCCTCACACCTGGATGGAGCTCTGAGTGCAGCAGCATCCTCAGGGCTCTGTACTCCACTGCCCAACAGAGCAGACTTCCAAGTATTGGTGAAATAAGAAAGAGGTTATTGTTCAAATTAAATTTATCATTTCAGGAATTCAGCTTTCAATGTGAATTCACAGAAGCACTGGAGTGGCCAGGCCGAAACATCCAAGGTTCTGCCACAAGCCAACTATGTAACCACAGCAAACCACATCATCAACCACCGCATTCTGCATTTTGTACAATGGTGAGACAGCCTAGATGATGACACCGTGGCCCTTTTCAGCCATGACAGTCTATATTTTTTCCTATGGGTTAGACTGTATCATAAGTTACAGAAATTATCTGATCTTATCAACCAACAGTTGACTGTTCAAGCCACATGTTGCATACAACATGCTCCGTTACACTCAAAGACAGGCCCCAAGACTCACCAGTCATCTGGCTTGACAGCCTCTGGATCTGGTATTTTCGGTCTTTCATCCCAATCCTCTGGCTTCTGGTCTGCTGGATCCTCAATTTCACGCGAAGGGTTTACAGGAGGAGTCATGTCACTCAGCAGATTTCCACTGTTCACAACAGACTGATCAACTAATATCTCAAAACTATTATCTGGATTCAAGACTAAAAAAGAAAAAAGACAATTAAAAATAGTTAATTAGCCGGGCGTGGTGGGTCAGGCCTGTAATTCCAGCACTTTGGGAGGCAGAGGTGAGTGGACTGCCTGAGCCCGTGGGTCCGAGAACTGCCTGGGCAACTTGGTGAGACCTCATCTCTACAATAAATCAAAAAATTAGCTGGCGTGGTAGCACGTGCCTGTAGTTCTAGCTTCTTGGAAGGCTGAGGCGGAAGGATCGCCAGAGCCCCAGCAGGTCGAGGCTGTGGTGGCCGAGCGGCCACTGCACTCCAGTCTGGGTGACAGAGTGAGACTCCAACTCAAAAAAAAAAAAAAAAAAAAAAAAAGACATCTACTCATGGTTGTACTTTTTAAGTCCCATGGACAATGAGAACTCAATTTTAAGTTCACAAAAATCTCCTTACGTGTGACTTCTGCTAAAGCCTGTATCTCATACCTAAACATCTAAGCAGCTGATCAAGTCACAGCACATCTAGGCAAGGGACTCCCTATGCTGCTGTTATCAAGGATAAAGAAAGTAAATGCTTTCACAGAGAAGGTTCTCGTGTAGTTAAGAAAGTAAGTGGCCGGATGTGGTGGCTCAAGTGTATAATCCCAGCACTTTGGGAGGCTGAAGCAAGAGGACTGCCTGAGCCCAGGAGTTTGAGACCAGCCTGAACAACTGGGTGAGACCTTGTCTCTACAATAAATACAAAAATTAGCCAGGCATGGTAGCGCATGCCTGTAGTTCCAGGTACTCGGAAAGCTGAGACGGAAAGATCACCTGAGCCCAGCAGGTCGAGGCTGCAGTGGCTATGAGTGTGCACTCCAGCCTGGGCGACAGAATGCGAGAGTTCCAATTCGAAAAAAGAAAAAAGAAAGTAAGTTAGATAGATATAGTACGTCTAACTTTTTGTAAAAAGTTACATGTTCTTATACACATATGGACAAATACATACCACAATGTGAATATTTCAGCTAATTTTAAGTGTCTTCTTTTTGCATGTTGTTTTTTAATTGCTATATCCTATTTGTATGTATTTTTAGGGTACCTGTGATATTCTGGTAATTTTATACAATGTGTAATGATCAAATCAGGGTAACTGAGATACTCGTCATCTCAAACATTACCTTTTCTATTTTTTCTTTTTTCTTTTTTAAATTTATTGTAGAGATGAGGTCTCGCCATATTGTCTAGGTTGGTCTCGAACCCAAGAACTCAGGCAATCCTCTCACCACCACCTTCCAAAGTGCGGAGACAGAGTCTTACTCTGCCATCCAAGCTGGAGGGCAGTGGTACAATCATTGCTCACTGCAGCCATGACCTCCTAGGCTCAAGTGATCCTCTCACTTCAGCCTCCCAAGTAGCTAGGACTGCAAGTGTACACCACCACACCTGGCTAATTTTCTAAAATATTTTATAGAGACACGTTCTCGCCATGTTGCCCAAACTGGTGCAAACTCCTGGTCTCAAGCAATCCTCCTGCCTTGGCCTACCAAAGTGCTGGGATTACAGGCATGAGTCACTCTGCCCAGATACATTTATCATGTTATCATTTCTTTGTGTTAGGAATAATTGTTCTCTTGTAACTATTTTGAGATAGACAATAACTTTTTGTTAACTATCATCTTCCTCTTGTATATTAAATATTGTAAGGGATACCTTCTATCTAACAGTATTTCTGCACCCACTAACCAGCTTGCCTTCACCCCTACTTTCCCCTTTAAGCGTCTTCTTTTTGCTTGTTTCTATCTTCTGAATTTCTATGCTGTAAATATTTATTACTTTTGTAATTTTTTAAAAAGGTTATTATAATCTTCAGAAAAAGAGGTATGTTTATATATGATCTCAAACCAGCAGGAAAAGCGTAATGATACAAAATCCTATTCCAAGGTCCAAATTATCGAACTTAAGTGCCAGTTGTTCAGGCATTGGAGTTGGAGTATCCAAGGAAAGGTCAACTAAAAGATAATTTTGAAAAAGTCTGTGTCTGTGTGTGTGTGTGTGTGTGTACACAAATTTCTTTGAGAGGGTCTCACTCTTTCGTCCAGGCTGGAGTACAGTGGCGTGCTTACAGCTTACTGCAGACTTGAAGCCTTAACTCAAACAATCCTCTAGCCTCAGCCTACTAAGTAGCTGGGAATACAGGTGCATACCACTGCACTGGCTAATTTTTTTATTTTTGTAGAGACAAGGACCCACCACATTGCCTAGGCTGGTCTCAAGCTCTTGCCTCAGTCTCCCAAAGTGCTGGGATTACAGGAGTGAGCCACCACACACAGCCTTAAAAACTGTATATACGCCCGGCTTGGTGGCTCAGCCTGTAATCCCGCACTTTGGGCGGCTGAGGTGAGTGGATTGCCTGAGCCTGCAGGTTCGAGACCCGCCTGGGCAACTTGGCGAGACCTCATCTCTACAACAAATCAAAAACTAGCTGGGTGTGGTAGCACGCGCCTGTAGTTCCAACTACTTGGAAGGCTGAGGGGGAAGGATCGCCGGAGCCCAGCGGGTCGAGGCTGCGGTGGCCGGGAGCGGCCACTGCACTCCAGTCTAGGCGACAGAGTGAGACTCCAACTGAAAAAAAAAAAAAATTGTCAGAAGCCCCAGCTCTCAGCTGAACCTCTGCAGGTGAGAAGCTACCTTGGATGCTGATAAATGGAAAGCATTCACACTAAGAGAGTGACTCAAGACACTCCTGCTTGCACAGCTTGGGTATTCTAAAGATGTGTAATCCTTAGGTTAAATGGGCGACATACACGCAATGCCATAACCCTGAAACTAATGGTTTTTCTTACTTAACGTGTAAAGATGCGTTTTCTTATCAGTAAAGTAGGCCTTCAGATCGGCATCTGGCCTCTTCGCATGCTTTTCTTCATAAACACCCGTTTTAGGGTTTCTGTGGCGGAAGATGAAGTGCAACTTGTAGTCCTCTCCACATTTATCTGGGCCAAACATAATCGTGTAAGGGGTCTTGTCATGGAACCGATCCTTCAGAGGCAACAAAAGGATCATGGTAAGTAAGCGCCAACAGGTTCAAAAGCAACTTCTCACAAGTGTATGATATTTCGTCTACAAAATTCCAAAGAAATCCGTCAGTTAAAGGAAAAGGTGATTATGCTGTAAGGATTGTTTAGTGAAATGGAATAACAAGTAATCACTAGAAATTTAAAATAACAAGTTTAAAATGCTTAAAAAACAAAGCAATGCATATATCTAGCTACTGCTTCCTTCATAAAACAAAGGAATAAGTTGGACGAAACTAAAGTTAAACAAAATAGAAACCAAAGAACAGTTGGTAACAGCTTTGAAATTCATATTTCAAATAAAAGCACTTCATAAAGGGCAAAAAAAAAGCACAAGTGTCAAAGTCAATATTCCAACTCTTCAAAAGATTTAAAGCCTAAGCCCGCGGGTTTGAGACCCACCTGGGCAACTTGGTGAGACCTCATCTCTACAATAAATAAAAAAAAAAAAATTAGCCGGGCTCAGTGGCTCAGCCTGTAATCCCGCGCCTTTGGGAGGCTGAGGTGAGTGGATTGGCTGAGCCCGCGGGTTCGAGACCCACCTGGGCAGCGAGACCTCATCTCTACAATAAATCAAAAAATCAGCCGGGCGGA